AGACAGGCCTTAAGCACCAAACCACAAAGAGAGAGCATATACGAATCCACTTACGAAACCTGTACATCTTCCAACAATCAAGTCGGCTTTGTTTGCATGCATTAAACAGTTTACAAGCTTGGAATCCACAACCAAAGCTATTTATTGTCATAACCCCGTAATGCTTCGAAGCTCAAAGACTGTTTAATAGATGTAAACAAAGCCGCCATGATTGTTGAAAGATGTACGGGTTTCGTAAGTGAATGTATAAATGCTAGATGAATCCTGGCCCGCTGGACTCGTACTCACACTCAAGACCTCCTTCTCACTCACCTGAAGGAGGACCAGATGGCTCCACTCCTTCCTTCCTACCTCTCTCCCTTCCTACCTCTCTCCCTTCCTACCTCCCGTTAGTCTTCGCCCCATCAACCTCTGAGGGGAATATAAAGACCATACCGTTGATTAATGTATATAGAAACACTGAGATAACGACTGTTCCTGAACAAATAGCCTGGCTGTCTCACAACGGAAAGATTGATGATATTCTGGAGATATATAAGAATTTTCCACCAAGATTGTTCTGAATGTCTATTGCAAATAGTCTGTGTACCTAGTCATGCAGGTATTTGTGTGTATGTCTGGTAACATACTGTATATGTAAAGGAAGACATGTATATGTTTATCACTCAGAATGTTCGGTAATATGTTTATTTTTTGTGATGTGTATATATATATATATATATATATGTCGTACCTAGTAGCCAGAATGCACTTCTCAGCCTACTATGCAAGGCCCGATTTGCCTAATAAGCCAAGTTTTCATGAAATAATTGGTTTTCGACTACCTAACCTACCTAACCTAATCTAACCTAACCTTTTCGGCTACCTAACCTAACCTAACCTATAAAGAAAGGTTAGGTTAGGTTAGGTAGGGTTGGTTACGTTCGGTCATATATCTACGTTAATTTTAACTCCAATAAAAAAAACTTGACCTCATACATAATGAAATAAGTAGCTTTATCATTTCATAAGAAAAAAATTTGAGAAAATATATTCATTCAGGAAAACTTGGCTTATTAGGCAAATCGGGCCTTGCATAGTAGGCTGAGAAGTGCATTCTGGCTACTAGGTACGACATATATATATATATATATGTCGTACTTATATATATATATATATATATATATATATATATATATATATATATATATATATATATATATATATATATATATATATATATATATGTCGTACCTAATAGCCAGAACGCACTTCTCAGCCAACTATGCATGGCCCGATTTGCCTAATAAGTCAAGTTTTCATGAATTAATGTTTTTTCGACGACCTAACCTACCTAACCTAACCTAACCTAACTTTTTCTGCTACCTAACCTAACCTAACCGATAGAGATAGGTTAGGTTAGGTTAGGTAGGGTTGGTTAGGTTCGGTCATATATCTACGTTAATTTTAACTCCAATAAAAAAAATTGACCTCATACATAATGAAATGGGTAGCTTTATCATTTCATAAGAAAAAAATTAGAAAAAATATATTAATTCAGGAAAACTTGGCTTATTAGGCAAATCGGGCCTTGCATAGTAGGCTGAGAAGTGCGTTCTGGCTATTAGGTACGACATATATATATATATATATATATATATATATATATATATATATATATGTCGTACCTAATAGCCAGAACGCACTTCTCAGCCTACTATTCAAGGCCCGATTTGCCTAATAAGCCAAGTTTTCATGAATTAATGTTTTTTCGTCTACCTAACCTACCTAACCTAACCTTACCTATAAATATAGGTTAGGTTAGGTTAGGTAGGGTTGGTTAGGTTCGGTCATATATCTACGTTAATTTTAACTCCAATAAAAAAAAATTGACCTCATACATAGAGAAAAGGGTTGCTTTATCATTTCATAAGAAAAAAATTATAGTAAATATATTAATTCAGGAAAACTTGGCTTATTAGGCAAATCGGGCCTTGAATAGTAGGCTGAGAAGTGAGTTCTGGCTACTAGGTACGACATATATATATATATATATATATATATATATATATGTCGTACCTAGTAGCCAGAACTCACTTCTCAGCCTACTATGCGAGGCCCGATTTGCCTAATAAGCCAAGTTTTACTGAATTAATATATTTTCTCTAATTTTTTTCTTATGAAATGATAAAGCTACCCATTTCATTATGTATGTGGTCAATTTTTTTTTATTGGAGTTAAAATTAACGTAGATATATGACCGAACCTAACCAACCCTACCTAACCTAACCTAACCTATCTTTATAGGTTAGGTTAGGTTAGGTAGCCGAAAACGTTAGGTTAGGTTAGGTTAGGTAGGTTAGGTTGTCGAAAAAACATTAATTCATGAAAACTAGGCTTATTAGGCAAATCGGGCCATGCATAGTAGGCTGAGAAGTGAGTTCTGGCTACTAGGTACGACATATATATATATATATATATATATATATATATATATATATATATGAACACGTTATACTGAACGGGGTGAGAATAGCTTGAGCTACATCCCTTTGTGAATCTACACCTCAATAAACTTATTTCAATTCAATTCAGTTCAAACCCATAATTTAACTTACATAGTTTACTGACTCATCAGCAAGTAAACAGTACCCACTAAGCATAGTTCAGGACTAAAGCAAACTCCCAGTATATACTTCCCTGAATAATAAGTCATACATTCCGGTATACATATCAAATGCTAAGATACAATTGTAATAATAAGAAAGATAAACTGGTTCCGTGCGCCGGAGGTCAAGCCAGGCCAAGCTGACAAGATAATTAGTTGAATGCATTTTCTAAAGTTTCCGCTGAAGTTGTCAACCCGAGCCAAGCGAGAAGAGTTAATTAGTTTTCCCCCATTTTCTAAACTTAGCGCTTGAGATTCGCGTTCAACTTATCAGGAGAGGGTAAGTTCTCCACCTAACTCCACTTTGTAAACACAGATATCTGGGTCAGTAGGTTCTGTAAGTATATGATAGTAACATCAAGCTGTCGACGCCTCCTTTCCCCTCTATGGAACCTTGACCAGCTTGGAGCATTGCCAAGCTTGCTTGAGATACAGCCTCGCTAGGAGCCTGAGAGAGGGCTTGATTTTGCTTAAGGCAGAGAGTGAGGTAGGAGAGAAGCTGTGGATTTCAGGTCACCAATCTTTCACTGTTGTCGGAAACGAGAGAGATTATTTGATCCATTTGGCCTCGAGTGTAAAGCGACCACCTCGCTTTTTTGTAGAACGGAAGTTCTATCCCAAGCATCTAAGTTCGTTAACCTCGTCCTCATATCCCAGCTCCTATCCAGGCTTCATATCCCTTCCAAATGCTATATATTTGTATAGTCGTACTGAAGTTAATCACAGCTGACTTATAAAATTAAGCTAAATATGGTTTAACATTACAAATAAAACATAATTTTCTACCTAAAATAGATAGGCTTACGTTTGTTGTTGGGCTTAAGGCTTATCAACCTCTGGGGGAATATAAAGGCTTATCAGCCTCTGGGAGCATTATTAAGGCTTATCAACCTCTGGGGAATTATTAAGGCTTATCAACCTCTGGGGGATTATTAAGGCTTATTAACCTCTGGGGGATTATTAAGGCCACAACAATAGTTTACTGACCAACCAACAAGTATACTTTAGTCCTGAACATTGTCCAGAACTAAAGTATACTCTCCTGTGTGTATATTTATATATACACAGAGTAGCGGAGTATACCTCTCGGGGCGATATATATATTTCTAGTGCGAACACAGGAACCTGTGCTGCTGGGAACTAGGTGAATATTTTAATAGTTCGTCCCACGCTGATGGGTGACGTAGAAGCGTTTGTTTACATGGCAACTTGTCCAAACAAATGAGCATCAAGCAGAGAGATCCTGTATATATGTTAATTGCACATATAATACATTATTGTTTTTCCTTGCTTGTACCTGTTTATATAAATTGAAAGCGTCTGTTTGCTCTATACGTTATATTCAATATTTTTTATCATAACGATTTGAAAGATTATTTGCATTTATTATCAGAGATTTGGATGTATATAAACAGGAGCTGCCTCCTTTTTATATATTGGACAAAATATAAACATTGCTAATATGTAAACATTGGCCAATATATACTATTGGCCAGCGACGACTGTGTGTGCCAGCCCATATGCCTAATTAAATCGTATTAACATAACATGGCCTAAATTGGCGAAATTTGAACTCGATTTTTGTAGCCATTAAAACTACTTGTTATTATAAGTTAATGGTTGTGTTTATGTGGGGTAAACTGTTAAGAGACGAGCACCATATGTTGCCACTTCAACCTGTTTTAGGATTCATCAAGCATTTAAGTCACCACTTACGAAATCTGTACATCTTTCTATGCTCAGGAGCAACTTAGTCTTTCTTAGATAGTTTACAAGCTTCGCAACTCTACGAGGTCGCTCTTGACCCAAAGTTATAATTGTTACAAGCAACTTTGAAGCGCCTACGAGGTTAATTAATTATTTAATAAGTAAAACCTAACCATAGTTGAGGAAAGATGTACAGGTTTCGTAAGTTTGTATATGTTTAGTGAATCCTGGTAGTGCCTCGTGCAGTGTTCCCAAACACCTTCAAATCCACGTATAATTTGGAGTGTAAAATACACATGCACCTAACAGTTGCTCGACAACAACATCGCTGGCAATTATTGGACAACACACATTGATAAAATATATCATAACTAATAATAAAATATTACTGTTTGAACTATAAAAACACGTGATGGAGCGGCTGACAATTACTATAATAAATAATTTTTTTGTTCATTACCATTGTGTGACGATATTACAGTTCTGAGCAGCTGCTGGACGTCCAATTAACTCGTCTATTTTAAGCATGATAAACATCAGAACGTGTATATACACACACACACACACCCATCCTCTTCCTACTCCACCTCACCACAGAACTTTCCAATCTCATCATGCTCACTAACATGGTGTCCCCCTTCACCAGGGAGCAGCCAGGGAGCGCCTACAGCAGCAGGGAGAGATGCTACCGTCGGAAAATAGACTGACGAGACAGTGCGAGTCTTGTGGAGTCTCCCCTGAAGACTGCCTCAAGAAGCTGGGTCTTCACTCTGACCATGTCGGGTAACTAACGCATTTTGGGAGAATCTAAGCCATTCTTGAGGCCTTTATGATGCCTTGAGGCCTTTACGTCTTAAGACCTTTACGTCTTGGGATCTTGTAGTTATCTTTCATCCCCCTTGGCGGTGTGTTTAACACTATCTTGTACGGGAAGTGTAAAATTCCAGCTTTCAGAAAACATGTTTAGTGTTAAACATTGTTCACACAGTATAATAAGGTAATATAATTTTCCTAAAGCCGCGTTTGGTCCTTTTTATATGCTAAACTTATTGTAACAGAAGGGCAGTTACTCTCAGCTTTTCTACTAGCATCAAGACCCCAGACATAGGTCATGTTTTCCATGAAGTTCTTAGATGCAACCAAATATTAAGTGAAAGACAATTATTCCTTATAACCACTGAATCTGAATTGTAATCTAATGTTCCAGATCGCTGACTCCCTCCCCAAAGAGTGAACGCCTCTTGCAGTTCTTCAGAAACATCCAGCCAGTGGTTCCACGCCCACTCCACGCCCACACGCCTTGTGGCTCCGACCCTCAGCTCGATCAAACGCAGCAGCAGCCAGCTACGAGGTGCCAGAGTCGAAGTCTGACAAGCTCTCCCGCGCACTCGAGCGGGGACGGTAGGAAGCCTCGCCTCAACACCTTCTGAGATTAAGCCATATCCTCGTCAGATTGTCCCTAACAGTGAGGACTCTTTAAGTCTTGTGCTGTAGCCACGACTTTTTGTACATTGTGCTACCTGGGTACTGTATGTGGGGCAGCATTTTTCACTCCTGGAAGTGGACCCCTTAGCATCGAAATCACCAGAAGGTTCCTGCCCCCTTGGAACCGAGTACACCAGATGGTTACTGACCCGTTATGATCGAAGTCACCTGAGGGTTTCGGACTCCCTTAGGATCGAAGTCGCCAAATATTTTCTAATCCCTTATGATCGAGGTCACTAAAGGGTTTCTAACCCCTTACGATTAAAGACACAAGTGGGGTTTCTCAAAACATACTCTTGTCACTTCAAGCAACGTATTCACAGAGGTGTGTAGGTGCCAACCTCAAGCGCAAACCCACAAGAAACCTTTGAAGCTAAAGATCTATCAAAATGCGTTGTCGCGCAAAAGAATCACGATGTCCAGCAAAGTGATTCTGGAGAACCGTTTAAAAGTTTAGCGGAGAACCACTAAACTTCGTGGAACATGAAGGCGAGAGAGAGAGAGAGAGAATGAATCTTCGCTCGGCACCCATGTAAGTGCCTTGGATGGTCTCTCTTTAGATAAGGAGAGACAATAAAACAGTTAAACTTAGACAAAAGGAAACCTCTTCTAAAAGCTCGATAAAGCTTAGTGTAAATAGGAAAAAATGGTGGGAAACGTACCCATGTGTACCATCTTTTGTATTGTTGGTGCACCGACACGAGAGCTTTACTATAGAACACGAGAGCTTTATAGTGTGACACGGGAGCTTTATAGTGTGACATGAGAGCTTTACAGTGTAACACCAAGCTTTACCATGTGGCAAGAGAGCTTTACAGTGTGACACGAGACCTTTTCAGTTGACATGAGAGCTTTATAATGTGACACCAGAGTTTTATGTATTGTTACTAATAGTACTCAAATAGAACCAAAGAATTATCAAAATATTTTGATACACGTAAATGACATTAGCTAAGTGTTCATATATATATTATTATATTTATAATATATATTTACAATGTATATTTACGAGTCCCCCCACCTCCACCCTCCTCGTATAACTTGAATGTTTTCTGTGACGTACATAGACACTTTAGCTTTTGAAATAGATGTTATCTTCCCTCACAAACATAATCAATATATTTATATATGGCTAGTATAGCATTATATACATGAAACTATATTGCTAAACGCTGGCTTGATATCCTGACGCTTGTGTATCCTCAAGAGCGGAAATCATTGGTGTACTTGTAGCCTAGTTAGCCTTTATGATTTCCAATATCATTATGCTTGCCTTTTGTGACTGTTGCTAGTTGTTAAGGCTGATTGAGTGACGTCGCTCGTGCTAGGATAAAACAGAGAGCGAGAAGAATTAAAGGTAATTACATTAGCATGTGTGTTTAATCTATACAATAAACATATATTATTTCCAAGGTTTGTATGGGTGTGTTTGACCAAGGCTGCAATTTGTGGAAACACAAGTGTGATGTTAGGCTGTATCCTGTAATCAATACAGTAGTGACAAGAATACAAGCGTGTTGCTACGCTGTATCCTGTAATCAATACAGTAGTGACAAGAATACAAGCGTGTTGCTACGCTGTATCCTGTAATCAATAAAACAGTGACAAGAACTTTTAGTCATGCGTTTGTATCCTACAAATCAATAGTGACTGGTTGTTGTTAGTGTTATAGATTCAGCTACTCGGAACAAGTTCCAAGTAGCACGGGCTATGGTGAGCCCGTAACTTACCTGGCACAGGAGCGGGGAGTGACTGGTATATTACAGCTGTTTTATGCAACGGTAGAACCTCTCTCTCCAACTTAGAACGCCTCTCTCCCACCACCTTCCCACGGTAGTGGTCCTCTCTCCCACCTCCCACGTTGTTATTCCATACTCCCAGACAGTTTTTAATCTGTCCAGATGGTTCTGAGTCAAGGCGACTGTTTCCTCTGCAGTATGGTGGGTGTTGGGAGTCGTCGAGGTAGCTGCAGTGTGGTGGGTGTCGTCGAGGTAGCTGCAATGTGGTGTGTGTTGGGTGTCGTCGAGGTAGCTGCAATGTGGAGGGTGTTGGGTGTCGTCGAGGTATCTGCAGTGTGGTGGGTGTTGGGTGTCGTCGAGGTAGCTGCAGTGTGGTGGGTGTCGTCGAGGTAGCTGCAATGTGGTGTGTGTTGGGTGTCGTCGAGGTAGCTGCAGTGTGGTGTGTGTTGGGTGTCGGAAAATCCGACCCCATTTAATAATCATACAGATAATTGCTGTTGTATAAGCAAGTTACCCATAGAAAACGTAACTTGTAGTGGAATTACCGTCTATAGAAAACGGGATATCATCACCACATACTATTATAATTCACCAGCTATTCTGGTGGGAATTATTCTTAAATACATTAGTCTTTGGACTTTACCATCATAAAAACATCTTATATAAATTAACTTAATTATCAATATTAAAGTAGAGTAAATGTGACCCTTCTATCACTTTCTGAAATCTGGACAATGTAAGCCAGGCGTCAGAGTGAGGAAGGAGGGCAGCCATTATTGTTGTTTATATAGAGACCAGAGGCTCACACGGGAGCAAATTCGGCTCCTGTTAATTTTACTTGGACGTAGTGTTATGGAACCCAAAGGTGTACCATTGTCAACACGCTGTCTACAAATACAAGTTAAGTGTCTATCCGAAACCCGTTTATCATTCATTTATGGCCATTAATGTCAGGATATAGGGTTAGCCGGTTAGAACGCGAAATCGCCTCAAACTAAAGGTAATTAAGCCAGGTCTTCATGTTCCATGTACTGTTTTCTCTGATATACTTGTCATATATAGGTATCTGGCTTCACAGCTAGCGCACTTTTGACAGGTCAAGACGAGGATGCAAGATTATGTGCACCAGTTACTGGGTGATGGAAGCTAACTCAAAGAGGATAATTTGGTGTCTACACCCTAGTTATACCTGGTGGACTAACCTGCTGTACTATAAGATAAGGAACCTCATCAATGTATGTAGCTATTACTGTAGTTTGATTGGCTGCATATATATAAATATAAACCCCCCTAATGTGTAGAGGATCGATTTGTGAGATTGAGATTATTGCAGAAATACAGTCCACTTAACATTATACAAATTGCTATCGAAGTATACAAATTAACGTAAATATAAATTCATATAAATTAAATAAATATAAATCTCACAGGTCGGTTCCCACATTGGGTGTCGTCGAGGTAGCTGCAGTGTGGTGGGTGTTGGGTGTCGTCGAGGTAGCTGCAGTGTGGTGGGTGTCGTCCAGGTCATACCAGGGAAACAATATGGTTTATAGGTCAACAGATCCATCTATCTAGTAACTTTGTTTGTATTCACACTTTGAGCCTCAACCTGATATTGACAGCATGTCAGTTAACTAAAATGTGATTAAATACATGTGTTTAGACTTTGTTGCAAACTCTCACTCTCTCTCTCTCTCTCTCTCTCTCTCTCTCTCTCTCTCTCTCTCTCTCTCTCTCTCTCTCTCTCTCTCTCTCTCTCTCTCTCTCTCTCTCTCTCTCTCTCTCTCTCTCTCTCTCTCTCTCTCTCTCTCTCTCTCTCTCTCTCTCTCTCTCTCTCTCTCTCTCTCTCTCTGAGATCAGACTCTCTGACCTCCCCTTACTCTCCTCCTGACCCCCTTACTCTCTCCCTGACCTCTGACCCCCCCCCCCCGTCTCCCTAACCTCTGACCTTTAAGCTATTTTTACATTATGTGAGGCGCATGGCATCAAAATACTCGCTGGCACCTCGATGAGTGACGTCAAGCAGTGCCAAGAATACAGCTGTAGCATAGGGTCTCGGTAGCACAGTTGGCTTCGTTCTCGACTCACAATCGAGAATTCTGGGAGGGACAGAAATGGTTGGGCTCGTTTTCTATCACCTAATACACCTGTTCACCTAGCAGTAAATAGGTACTCAGGAGTCAGCTCGTTGTGGGGCTGCGTCCTGGGGATGGCTCACCCCCGACACAGTGAATTATTATTATTGTTATATTTATGTCACATACTTCACACCAGAGGGCCACCATCTCCCTTGTGGCCCAGAACCCGGGACCAGGAACCGAGGACGCAGCGGACGGTCTCTGGATCATCACGCTGAGGCGCTGGAAGAAGCAACTAGCTACTCTGGATTCATTTGTTGCATCAACGTGATAAGATATGCATACATATTGTTTATTTAAGTTGCAAACATACAAACGTCCTAGAGAATATAGTTCTTCAATTAAAAATATACGAACAAAATTACATACAAAATATTAGCTAGGAATAACAATAATTAAAAATTCAAAGATTGATAATAATAAATATAAATTAAAACGTTGAAACAATGTGATTTTAAATAAAGATATACAAAGTATCAAAATATATTAACGACCTTACAGCCTACTTGCAGAGGTCGCAATTAGCGTATAAACAATGCAACCCGTCCTCGACTCAAGTCCATTACATTCAGCGGTCGACCCCACAGACGCATTCATAAATTTTAACATGCTGTTCATTCAAAACGGGAATTTTCTCAAGTATAAATTAATATTATAATATATTAGCATATTGTGTATATATAGACATAGGTTAGGTTAGGTTAGGTTAGGTTAGGTTAGGTGTTTAGGTTCTGTTGGCGATTATTTGTATTTGTAGTACGTGGGTGAAGCATTTATAGCGTTGCAGCTTAGTGTAAAGCTTAGTGTAAGCTTTACAAAAAAATTGCAAAATTTTACAAAATTCGTCAGTGAAGCACTTGTTCCGGATATGTTCGAACGTCAGCAGTTGTGAGTCGTGTGTAAACCGCTTTTCATTCATAAACAGGGGGTTTGGCGGGTGCATGGAATCACTTTTGGATCTTTGTTTGGAGGACGGGCTGAACAATGCGGGAGTGAACAGCTCTGAGCTGTTTAACTCGGGGTCTCGTTTTACTCATTGAAATTCGACTCCCTAGTGTGAGGTCCCGTCTAAACGACCCGGAGATCAGTGTAGTTAATGTAATTGAAGTGAGCAGTTGACTTGTCGCTTCCTGGGGATCCAATTATAGACGAGGACGCAGCTTAACTCAAGAGGCAAACCTACACGGTAAGACATACCCATAATACATCGTATTTTGACGTATGAAAGCACTACGGTTAAAAACTGGTGTGATATTTAGCGTAGCAGCTCGCAAAATTGACCTGATGTCCCGTTTTCTATTTTTGGGTCCTTTTTTTAGGTTTGGGGAATTTAGTACATCATTTTTGTGACGTTGTGATAAGTGGAGAGGAATAGGCAGGTTCAAGGTACAGTGAAGTTATCCCTAAACATCGAACGGTTCACCTCCAACACTTAAAACGGATAATCAAATCTGAGGTCAACATTATTATTGATAAACACAGATGGGAAGTTCAGGTCTTGATAAACACCAATTTACCCATTGCTGCAATACCTGCAGTTAATAGAGATATTAATTATATGAATGATATTCACACTTATTCATTCGTGTTTTGCCACGTCGTTACATCGATAATGAAGACGGAATATTGCTTTTCAATGTAACGATTGTAGATTCTGGCCCGTACTGTCTCCTGCACTGGTGGTGATGCAGGTGGTAGTTACAGAGGTGGTAGTTACAGGTGGTGGCAGTGGAGCAGGTGGTGATGCTTGGATACGAGCAGTTGAGCTGTTAGGGGGGTTAGAAATAGCCTAAGCTACTCAATCCCTGATATATATTTTTACTCTTGTCTCAATAAACATGAACTTAATTTGAACTTGAGGTGTTAATGGCGCGTACCAACGTAATGATGGGCAGTTGTTGCCTTGTATGACTTCCAGTACGCTTCGTAATAGTCTATACGCTGTTAATAATTACATAATTAACTTAATACCTAGTTGAAGCTTCGTGAGCGATGTTGAGTCATCAGTGGCGCGTCGTGCTGTGGACTAACTTATTTGTGTTTACGTGAGAGTTTGGTCTAGCTCTTGTGCCCCGCTTACTGGCCTTGTATTCTTGTTGCCTTTCAATCTAACTACTCTGAGTTTCCTTGTCGGTGCACTCGCCAGGAGCGTGTGTGTTTATTCAGTGAGCTGCGCTTGTATGGTATCGGCCCTTGCCTTTCATTCTGGTAGTATTAACGTGATATAATCCAGTTAATGTGATTTCTCTGTGTTGAAGTAGGAGCGTTAGAGGTGGTACTACCAGTTGACAGAGCCTGAGTGCATGGGGGTACCTTACCTACCTTGAGGTGCTTCCGGGGCTCAGCGTCCCCGCGGCCCGGTCGTCGACCAGGCCTCCTGGTTGCTGGGGGGGGAGGGAATTGTGTGAAAACTCAGACTTCAGTGGAAGCCTCGGAACCTCATGGGTGCAATAACACTCCAGGTTGCAATTTTTTTACCATGTCGGGGTGCAGTTGACTAGAGCGCGTCTGGTAATACTCAGAGCGTAGGTTCGAACCCTCATCAAGGCTCCTGTGGATTTGTGCTTTAATATATCACGTTAATGTGATTTCTGTGTGTTTATTATTATTTCTCTGTGATTTATTATTATTAAGAAGGTCTCCCTTCCGCTCCCCTGCTACCCCTATGTGTCTAGCCTTCACTCACGAATTTACTGTTTAGTAATTTCTAATTTTGTATAGTTTTCCCGCTGATGCCTAA